AGGTAATGTATAGATACGTTGATAGCAGGCAACGTATGTTTCGTATTGACGTATAATGACGTCTGATAGTGTATACATGCGTCAACAGCAGGCAACTTATGTTTCAAACAGACGTATTAGTACGTTACTTTAACGTTTATATACGTCGACAGCAGATAACATATAAACGCGTCAGTATAACGATAGCAGGCAATGTATGTTTCATACGGATGTATAAGTACGTTTCAAAAACATATACATATACGCCAACAGCAGGCAATTTAAGTTTCATAACGGCGTATGAAAAGAGATTTTTGAAATACTGGTGACAATTGAAAAATCGGGTAGAGATTAGATAGATAGATAGATAGATAGATAGATAGATAGATAGATAGATAGATGGGGAGGAATAAAATGGATTTGAAAGCTTTGGAAAGAAAGACAGAAGATAAGGTGAAGAAAAAAAAAGCGTGCGGATAGAAAGAATGAAATGAAGAGAAAGAAAGTAAAAGCGAAAGAAAAGAAGAAAGAAAAGCACGTAGAATTTAAAGAAAGGAAAAAAAGAAAAACGCGTAGAATGAAAAAAAAAGGAAAGACAGAAAAACACGTAGAATAAAAAGATTAAAAGAACGGAAATATTAAAAATAATCATATTTTAAAATATATTCCTATATGAAAGATTGTTATTTGTAAAGAGAGCGAAATTTATACTTGTGCTCGAACCAAGTGAGGACCAGTCGGTCTTTACGCATCGAAAGTTGTTATTGCATCAATGCTCCAATTTGCTGTTTCAGGTCCACCACGTTTGTATGTCGTAATCACAGAGTAGGACGACCGACTGGGCTTGTTGCAATGCAAGAAAGCAAGAGGCAAATGATTAGTTAGAAAAGACAATGCTTGATTAGTGCCCGTCTCTTTATTCTTAGATTGATTTGCTTTCAAGACCCACTTTGTTTTTCTTTTTTTATGAAGAGAAATTGTTAGTTTACCTGTTCTTGCTACGATGAGTAATAAGAGAAGTGATAGTCGAAGCGGACGCTAGAGGGCGTTAGTTAATTAAGAGACACTTCAAAACGAGGCTGAGAACTGTTTCAAAGCTGACCTGGAGGAAGGCGTTTTTGTTTTTTTTTTTAATATTGGTTAAAGGAGGGGCAAAGAGAAAAAGAGGAGGAGAGAGCGAGCGAATAAGGGTGAGAAAGTAGAAAATGGGAAGCGTAAGTAAGAGAGTGATGGAAGAGAAAAGAAGGAAAGAAAGAAAAGAAAAGGAAAAACACGTAAAAAGGAAAAGAAAGAAAACATACAGAAAGAAAAGAACGCGTAGAAGAAAAAAGAGATTAAAAAGAAAAAAAAAGTACGTGGACAGTAAAGGAGAAAGAAAACATATAGAAATATAGGAAGAAACATGTAGAAAAGTAAGGGAAAAAAAAGAAAGGAAAGAAAAACATGTTGTCAGAAGGTAAGAAAAAAAAAAAAGCAGCAAGGAAAGAGGAACGAAGAGAAAAGAAAGAAAAGAAAAATATGGCAAGAAAAGAGAAAGCTGTCGGAAGAGATTTTTTAAATACTGGTGACAATTGAAAAATCGGACAGGATAGATAGATAGATAGATAGATAGATAGATAGATAGATAGAGAGAGAGAGAGAGAGAGAGGGAGAGGGGGAATAAAATGGATTTGGAAGGTTTGGGAAGAAAGACAAAAGAAAAGGTGTAGAAATAAAAGCATAGAAAAAAAGAAAATAAAGCGAAAGAAAAGTAGAAAAAACACGTGACAAGAAAAAAGGAAAGAAAAACACGTAGAATGAAAAGAAGAAAGAGAAACACGTAGAATGAAAAGAAGAAAGAAGAGAAAAACACGTAGAATGAAAAGAAGAAAGAAAAGAAAGAAAACACGTAGAATGAAAAGAAGAAAGAAAAGAAAGAAAAACACGTAGAATGAAAAGAAGAAGGAAGAGAAAAACACGTAGAATGAAAAGAGGAAAGTACAGGAAGAAAAATACGTAGAATATGAAAAGAAAAAAGGAAAGAAAAACACGTAGAATGAAAAGAAGAAAGAAAAACACGTAGAATGAAAAGAAAAAAGAAGAGAAAAACACGTAGAATGAAAAGAAGAAAGAAAAGAAAGAAAAACACGTAGAATGAAAAGAAGAAAGAAAAGAAAGAAAACACGTAGAATGAAAAGAAGAAAGAAAAGAAAGAAAAACACGTAGAATGAAAAGAAGAAAGATAAACACGTTGAATGAAAAGAAGAAAAGAGAAAAACACGTAGAATGAAAAGAAGAAAATACGGGAAGAAAAATACGTAGAATATGAAAAGAAAAAAGGAACGAAAAACACGTAGAATGAAAAGAAGAAGGAAAAACACGTAGAATGAAAAGAAGAAAGACAAACACATAGAATGAAAAGAAGAAAGAAAAGAAAAAAAACACGTAGAATGAAAAGAAGAAAGAAAAACACGTAGAATGAAAAGAAGAAAGCAGAGAAAAACACGTAGAATGAAAAGAAGAAAGAAAAACACGTAAAATGAAAAGAAGAAAGTAAAGAAAGGAAACACGTAGAATGAAAAGTTGAAAAAAAAAAAAAGGAAAAACACGTAGAATGACAAGAAGAGCGAAACAAAGAAAGGGCGGCGGAAGAAAAAAGACTGAAAGAAAGAAAAGAAAAATGCACAGAAAGTCAATAAGGTAAAAAAAAAAAACAAAGAAAGAAAAGCAAGAAAAAGATGTAAAAAGAAATAAACGAAAAATAGGTGTAGCAGGAAAAGAAAACAGACAGTAGGAAAGGAAAAAAAAAGAAGAAGAAAACACACAGAAAAAAAGAAAAGACTAAAGTTTTTGTGTCTTTCTTTTTTCTTTTTCGTTCTTTCTTTTTTTACGTGTTTTCTTTCTTTCTTTCTTTCTTTTTTCGTTTTTTCTTTCTTTTCTTTCTTTTTTCTTTCTTTTTTTACGTGTTTTTCTTTCTTTTTCTTTCGTTTTTTCTTTCTACGTGTTTTCTTTCTTTTCTTTTCTTCTTTTCTTTCTTTCTTTCTTTCTTTTCTTTCTTCTTTTTTTACGTGTTTTCTTTCTTTCTTTCTTCTTTCCTTTTTACGTGTTTTTCTTTCTTTTTTTCTTCTTTTTCTTTTTACGTGTTTTCTTTCTTTTCTTTCTTCTTTCCTTTTTACGTGTTTTCTTTCTTTTTCTTTCTTCTTTCCTTTTACGTGTTTTCTTTCTTTTCTTTCTTCTTTCCTTTTACGTGTTTTCTTTCTTTCTTTCTTCGTTTTTCTTTTCTTTCTTCTTTTCTTTCTTTTCTTCTTTTTTCTTTTTTTCTGCTTTGTTTTTTTCTTTTCTTTCTTTCCTTTCTTACGTGTTTTCTTTCTTTTCTTTCTTCTTTCCTTTCTACGTGTTTTCTTTCTTTTCTTTCTTCTTTTCTTTCTTTTCTTTTTTACGTGTTTTCTTTCTTTTTCTTTCTTCTTTTCTTTTACGTGTTTTCTTTTTTCTTTCTACTTTCATTTTTACGTGTTTTCTTTCTTTTCTTTCTACTTTCCTTTCTACGTGTTTTCTTTCTTTTCTTTCTTCTTTCCTTTCTACGTGTTTTCTTTCTTTTCTTTCTTCTTTCCTTTTTACGTGCTTTCTTTCTTTTTTTCTTTCTACGTGTTTTCTTTCTTTTCTTTCTTCTTTTCTTTCTATGTGTTTTCTTTCTTTTCTTTCTTTCTTTTTTCTTTTTCTTTCTTCTTTTCTTTCTTTTCTTTCTTTTCTTTCTTCTTTTCTTTCTACGTGTTTTCTTTCTTTTCTTTCTTCTTTCCTTTCTACGTGTTTTCTTTCTTTTCTTTCTTCTTTTCTTTCTACGTGTTTTCTTTCTTTTCTTTCTTCTTTCCTTTTTACGTGTTTTCTTTCTTTTCTTTTTCTTTCTTCTTTTCTTTCTTTTCTTTCTTGTTTTCCTTTCTTTTTTTTTCTTTCTTTTTTCCTTTTTGTTTTTCTTTCTTTTCTTTCTTCTTTCCTTTTTACGTTTTTTCTTTCTTTTCTTTCTTCTTTCCTTTTTACGTGTTTTCTTTCTTTTCTTTCTTCTTTCCTTTTTACGTGTTTTCTTTCTTTTCTTTCTTCTTTCCTTTCTACGTGTTTTCTTTCTTTTCTTTCTTCTTTCCTTTTTACGTGTTTTCTTTCTTTTCTTTCTTCTTTCCTTTTTACGTGTTTTCTTTCTTTTCTTTCTTCTTTCCTTTTTACGTGTTTTCTTTCTTTTCTTTCTTCTTTCCTTTTTACGTGTTTTCTTTCTTTTCTTTCTTCTTTCCTTTTTACGTGTTTTCTTTCTTTTCTTTCTTCTTTTCTTTCTACGTGTTTTCTTTCTTTTCTTTCTTCTTTCCTTTTTACGTGTTTTCTTTCTTTTTTCTTTCTTTCCTTTTTTCTTTTTTCTTTCTTTTCTTTCTTCTTTTCTTTTCGTGTTTTCTTTCTTTTCTTTTTCTTTTCTTTTTGTTTTTTTCTTTTCTTTCTTCTTTCTTCTTTCTTTTGTTTTCTTTTCTTTCTTTCTTTTTCTTTTACGTTTTTTTTTCTTTTCTTCTTTTTCTTTCCTTTTTCGTTTTCTTTTTTTTTCTTTCTACGTGTTTTCTTTTTTTCTTTCTTCTTTCTTTACGTGTTTTCTTTCTTTTCTTTCTTCTTTTCTTTCTACGTGTTTTCTTTCTTTTCTTTCTTCTTTTCTTTCTACGTGTTTTCTTTCTTTTCTTTCTTCTTTTCTTTCTACGTGTTTTCTTTCTTTTCTTTTTTCTTTTCTTTCTACGTGTTTTCTTTTCCTTGTTGATCCTTTTCTGTTCTTTTCGCCACACTTTCTTTCTAAGTGTTTTCTTTATTATTTTTATTTTTTCTTCTGATAAAAGAAAAAGAAAGAATATAAAATGTATGAGAAAGAAAAGAAAAGAAAAGAAAAGAAAAGAAGAAAACAGAAAAAATACAACGGAAACGGAAAAAGAAAACACACACACACACACAGAACGAAAAGAAAAAGCATGCAACAGAAAAAAGAAAAAGAAAAACATGTAACTGAAAAAAGAAAAAAAATGTTACATAAAAAGAAAAAAAGAAAAAGAAAAATGTAACTGAAAAAGGAAAAGATAGAACAATATGTAACAGAAAAAGTGAAACGTGTAACAGAAAAAAGAAAGGATAGAAACACATGTAACAGAAAAAAGAAAAACATGTAACAGAAAAAGAAAAAGATGTAACAGAAAAACGAAAAAGAAAAACATGTAACAGAAAAAGAAAAACATGTAACAGAGAAACGAAAAAGAAAAACATGTAACAGGAAAAGAAAAACATGTAACAGAAAAACGAAAAAGAAAAACATGTAACAGGAAAACGAAAAAGAAAAAGATGTAACAGAAAAACGAAAAAGAAAAACATGTAACAGAAAAAGAAAAACATGTAACAGAGAAACGAAAAAGAAAAACATGTAACAGGAAAACGAAAAAGAAAAACATGTAACAGAAAAACGAAAAGAAAAAAAAAAACAGAAAAAAAAAACATGTAACAGAGAAACGAAAAAGAAAAACATGTAACAGGAAAACGAAAAAGAAAAACATGTAACAGAAAAACGAAAAAGAAAAACATGTAACAGAAAAAGAAAAACATGTAACAGAGAAACGAAAAAGAAAAACATGTAACAGGAAAACGAAAAAGAAAAACATGTAACAGAAAAAGAAAAACATGTAACAGGAAAACGAAAAAGAAAAACATGTAACAGGAAAACGAAAAAGAAAAACATGTAACAGAAAAACGAAAAAGAAAAACATGTAACAGGAAAACGAAAAATAAACAGAAAAACATGTAGCAGGAAAACGAAAAAGAAAAACATGTAACAGGAAAACGAAAAATAAACAGAAAAACATGTAGCAGGAAAACGAAAAACCTTTAACAGTAAAAAGAAAAGACAAAAAAAGAACCATGTAAAAAAAATATATAGAAATAGGTACAAAAGAACAAAACACATTAGAAATTAAAAAACAAAGAAAAGAAAAACTCAAGAAAAAAGAAGGTAATAGAAGTAAAGAAAAACATAAAGAAAGACATAAGGAAAGAAAAAAAAACATGCAAAAATAAAAGTTGTGTGAACAGCCATATAGAAAAAAAAGAAAGAAAAAGGAAAGAAGAAATCGATAGAAAAAAGAAAAGTAAGAAGAGAAAAGAAGCTGTAAAAAGAAAAGAAAGAAAAAGCGTAGAAAGCAAAGAAGGAAGAAAAACACAGAGAAATAAAAAGTGGGGGGAAAATATATAGAATGAAGAGAAGAAAGAAAAGAAATAAAAACATTTAGAATGAAAAGAATAAAGAAAAGAAAGAAAAATCGTAGAATGAAAAGAGGAAGAAAGAAAAAACGGAGAATGAAAGGATAAAAGAAAAGAGAAAAACGTAAAATGATACGAAGAAAGAAAGAAAAGCACGTAGAATGAAAGGAAGAAAGGAAAGAAAGAAAAACGTAGAAAGAATAGAAGAAAGAAAAGAAAAAAATGAAGAAAGAAAAGAAGATTGAAACGTACTCAAACATGCACAAGGACAAGAATAAAGAATGAAAGAAAAATGTAGAATGAATAGAAGAAAGAAACGAAAGAAAAACACGTAGATGAAAAAGAAGAAAGAAAAGAAAAACATATAGGGAGTAAAGAAGAAAAAAGAAAGAAAAATATGTAGAATGAAAAGAGTAAAGAAAAGCAAGAAAAATGTAAAATGAAAAGAAGAATGAAAAGAAAGAAATAAAAGGAAAATTTCAGAATGAAAGGAAGAAAGAAAAGAAAGATAAGATTGATTGAAAAGAAGAAAGAAAAGAAAGAAATGCATGTAGATTGAAAAATGAAAAGAAAGGAAAAACGTAGAATGAAAAAATGAAAAAAAAAAAAGAAAAATATATAGAATAAAAACAAAAAGGAAAAAAATCATCTAGGAAGAATAGAAACAAAAATATCAGGAATCAAAAGAACAAAGGAAAGAAAAAATGTAGAATGAAAAGAAGAAGAAATGAAAAAAACACAGACAGAATGAAGAGGAAAAGGAAAATAAAGAAAAACGTAAAATGAAAAGAATAAAGGAAAATTGGAGAATGAAATAAAGAAAAAAAGAAAATAAAACATGTAGAATGAAAACAACAACGAAATGAAGGGAAGAACATTTAGAATTAAAAAGATGGAGGAAAATAATGGAAAATAAAATATGTAGAATGAAATGCAGAAAGAAAAGAAAGAAAACATGTAGAATGAAAAGAAGAATGCAAAGAAAGAGATACATGTAGAATGAAAAGAAAAGAAAGAATAACATGCCGAATAAAAAGAGAAAGAAAAACAGGTAAGATGAAAAGATTAAAGTAAAGAAAGAAAAATATTTGTATGTAATGCAGAAAGAAAAACACTGGAATGAGAAGAGAAAGATAAGAAAGAAAAACATGTAGGATGAAAAGAATAAAGTAAAGAAAGATAAAATATTTGAATGAAATGCAGAAAAAAAGGAAGAGAAACATGTAGGATGAAAAGAAGAAAGAAAAACATGTAGGATGTAAAGAATAAAGTAAAGAAAGATAAAATATTTGAATGAAATGCAGAAAAAAAGGAAGAAAAACATAAAATATTTGAAAAAAAAATGTAGGATGTAAAAGAAAAATTAAAAGGAAGAAAATATTTAGGATGAAATGCAAAAAAGAAAAAAACATGTAGGATGAAAAGAAGAAAGAAAAACATGTAGGATGAAAAAAATAAAGTAAAGAAAGATAAAATATTTGAATGAAATGCAGAAAAAAAGGAAGAGAAACATGTAGGATGAAAAAAAAAAAAAACATGTAGGATGTAAAGAATAAAGTAAAGAAGCTCTATAAAATATTTGAATGAAATGCAGGAAAAAAGGAAGAGAAACATGTAGGATGAAAAGAAGAAAGAAAAACATGTAGGATGAAAAGAATAAAGTAAAGAAAGATAAAATATTTGAATGAAATGCAGAAAAAAAAGGAAGAGAAACATGTAGGATGAAAAGAAGAAAGAAAAACATATAGGATAAAAATAATAAAGTAAAGAAAGATAAAATATTTGAATGAAATGCAGAAAAAAAGGAAGAGAAACATGTAGGATGAAAAGAAGAAAGAAAAACATGTAGGATGAAAAGAATAAAGTAAAGAAAGATAAAATATTTGAATGAAATGCAGAAAAAAAGTAAGAAATGAAAACATGTGGGATGAAAAGAAGAAAGAAAAACATATAGGATAAAAATAATAAAGTAAAGAAAGATAAAATATTTGAATGAAATGCAGAAAAAAAGGAAGAGAAACATGTAGGATGAAAAGAAGAAAGAGAAAAATGTAGGATGAAAAGAATAAAGTTAAGAAAGATAAAATATTTGAATGAAATGCAGAAAAAAAGGAAGAGAAACATGTAGGATGAAAAGAAGAAAGAAAAACATGTAGGATAAAAAGAATAAAGTTAAGAAAGATAAAATATTTGAATGAAATGCAGGAAAAAAGGAAGAGAAACATGTAGGATGAAAAGAAGAAAGAAAAACATGTAGGATAAAAAGAATAAAGTAAAGAAAGATAAAATATTTGAATGAAATGCAGAAAAAAAAGGAAGAGAAACATGTAGGATGAAAAGAAGAAAGAAAAACATATAGGATAAAAAGAATAAAGTAAAGGAAGTTAAAATATTTGAATGAAATGCAGAAAAAAAGGAAGAGAAACATGTAGAATGAAAAGAAGAAAGAAAAGAAAGAAAAACATGTAGGATGAAAAGAATAAAGTAAAGAAAGATAAAATATTTGAATGAAATGCTGAAAAAACGAAGAGGAACATGTAGAATGAGAAGAAGAAAGAAAAGAAAGAAAAACATGTAGAGTGAAAGGAAGAAAAAAGAAAGAAAAACGTGTAGGAATAAAGCAAGGAAAGAAAAATATATTAGAATGAAATGCTGAAAGAAAAGAAAGAAAACATGTAGAATGAAAAAAAAGAAAAGAACGAAGCATATGCGGAAAGAAGAGGAGAAAGAAAATAAAGAAAAAACGTCGAATGAAAAGAATAAAAAAAAAAATGAAGTATGAAATGAAGAAAGAAAGAAAGTAAAACATTTAGAATGAAAAGTCGAAAGAAAAGAACGAAAAACAGGTATTATGGAAAGAATAAAGTAAAGAAAGAAAAATATTAGAATGAAATGCAGAAAGAAAAAAACGTGTAGAATGAAAAGAAAAAAAGAAAACAAACAATAAAATTTACAATGAAAGAAGAAAGAAAGGAAAACCTATAAAAAAGAGGAGAAAATAAATAAAGAAAAACGTGGAATGAAAACAAGAAATGAATGAAATAAAAGCATGTAGATTGAAAAGAAGAAATGAAAGAAAAAACATCGATTGAAAAGGAGAAAGAAAAGAAAGAAAAGCATTGAAAATTAAAATAAGAAAAAAAGAATAAAAGCATGTAGAATGAAAAGAAGAAGAAAAAGAAATAAAAGAAACGTGGAATGAAACAAAGAAAACACGCAGAATGAAAAGAAGGGAGAAAAGAACGAAAATTAAAGAAAAAGAAAGTAAAGCCTGTAGAATGAAAAGAAGAAAGAAAAGAAAACCACGTACAAAGAAAAGAAGAAAAAAGAAAGAAAACATGTAAAATGAAAGGTAGAAAGAAAAGAAAGAAAAGAAAAACATGTAGAATGGAAATAAAGAAAAGAAAAACATGTAGAATAAAAAGAAGAAAGAAAATCATGTAGAATGAAAAGAAAAGGAAAAGAAAGAAAATCATGTAGAATGAAAAGAATAAAGTAAAGAAAGAAAAACATGGTGAATGAAAAGAAGAAAGAAACGTTGGATAAAAAGAAAAAAAATGAATGTAAAACGTAGATTGAAAAGAAGAAAGAAAAGAAAGAAAAACCAGTAGAATGTAAACGAGAAAGAAAAGAAAGAAAAAACGTAGAATGAATAGGTGAAAGAAAGAAAGAAAACATGTACAATGAAAAGGAGAAAAAAAAAGAAAGAAAAACATGTAGAATTTAAAGAAAAGAATGAAAAAATTTATAAATGAAATGAAGGAAGTAAAGAAAGCAATACATGTAGAATGAAAAAAGAAAGAAAGAAATTTATATGAAAAGAAGAAAGAAAACTTGTAGAATGTGACGTGTTTCATCGTTTAGGACTTCATCAGAATAAGTTTGTTTCCGTTGATGAATACGAACGAGAGAATTTTAAATTTAAAGTTGCTTTTATAATTTTGTGATTTGGCCGATTTATTTTAGATTATTTTTCTTTTTCTATATGTTTCCGTCATTTCGTTACTAAATATCCTACATTGCGATCGCAGAAGATCTGCCAAGGAACATTGTAAGAACCTGGAGGCAAATTTGCTGGGGATGATCTAGCGATTAAAACACTTTCTAAACATTTTCGTCTTAGTAAAATGTTTTTTCTTTCTTTTAATTTGAGTAGAATTTTTAAAATAAAAAATGTGGTCAGTCTCCTTACGGCGAGTAACTAATTCATTTAACATGTTGTTTGGTAAAAGATCCCTTTTATATTCATATAATCCTTTATTTAAATTCCTTGACGTTTCTCCGATGTATTGTTTGTAGCAATTATTACTGGTAATAGAATAAATCCCTTCTTTAAGTTTTAGCTTATTATTTTGTTTTGTATTAAAAATTAAAATAAGTAAATAAATAATTATTTTTAAATTTAAATTACCTAGCGTCTTTCGTCCGTGCGCATGTGTAGTTGCATCAATGTGAATATAAACTTAGTCTGATGAAGTCTTAAAGGAGGAAACGTGGCTAACGAAAAACATTTTCCACTTTCTCATACTTCGTTCGCTTAAAATTGCTCTTGATATATAAAAATTTATATATCGTTTTTCCCACACTACTATACATATGTACACGCTGTAACATTTAAGATAATAAAAAAAGGAAACACTACTTTGTGAAATTCTTTTTGGGGATGAATTTGAATGAGGATTTTCGCGAAACCTTTTTCATTTTATGCAAGTGAAAAGTTAGAATATCTTTTCGCTTAAAATAAATTCCTGCAACACCGTGGATGTCGACACGTGGAATATAAAAAGAAATAAAAATAAGATAAATAAATGAAAATCTAAAAACTAAAATATATAAAAAAAATAGAAGAAAACTGAAATAAAAATACCGCTGACAAAATCCTAAGCGAAAAATAGTTTTCTGTTAGCGAAAGACGTAAAAGGGACACCTGAAAATAAATATATATTGTTTCCATTTGTTGTTTTATTTGCAAGAACAGAAAGAAATACGTAAATCCGATAAATATTTACGATTGATATGTTTGAAGATGAAAAAAAACACGCCAACAGGATGACTTTATTCGTAAAAGAAAAGATGAAAAAAAGCAGAACAAAAATATCTAGAAGTCTGTCTGTAACAGCATATCTGGAAATAATGGTCCTATTAAACGAGAACGTTATGCAATACGTGATCTCACGGCTATTAAACTGTAATATCACTGGTAGGATGCATTAAAGAAACTACTCTGGTAACTACATATATACAGAGTGTGGCAGAAATAACGCCAACATATATCACCTAGAAATACCTTCCCACATAATGGTAAGATATTAGCTAGATGGAGTCACAATTACCACTAATGTCTTACCATTACGTGGGAAGTATTTCTGTGTGGTATATGTTGGAGGTATTTCTGGAAGTATCTTTGGGAGATATATGTAAGAGATGTATGCATGGGAGGGGTGTATGTATGGGAGGGATTTCTGGAAGCAATGTCTGGTAGGTATATGTGAGAGGTATTTATGGGAGGTAAATATAATATGGGAGGTATTTGTGGGTGCTATTTTTGGGAGGTACTTCTAGGAGTTATATGTGGGAGGTATTTCTGGGAGTTACATGTAGGAGACATTTCTGGGATGTATTTGTGGGTGGTATATATGGGAGGTACGTCTGAGAAGTATTTCTGAGAGATATATGTAGGGGTATTTCTAGGGGTATTTATGGGAGGTATTTCTGGAAGGCATATATGGTTAGGTTTTTGTTGAAAGTATTTCTGGGAGGTATATGCGGGAGGTATTTCTGAGAGGCATATGTTGGAGGTATATACAGGAGTTATTTTTGCCGCGCCCTGCATAAGTCGACCTATGTATGTTGTATAATAGTTTGAAGAAGAGGCAAAGAAGAGTGGTTTGAGTAGAAACTGATCAGATCATTTTTGTTTGTAGCCTTTCTGTAAACGTCAAAATTGAGTTCGTTATTATTTCTATGTAATATGGTGTCTAGGAACGGAAGAGTGTTGTTGGTTTCAGTTTCAAAAGTGAAGTATATTGTAGGTTCAACGTTGTTAAGCACTCTTTTAAAATCAAATCTGGAATTACTATAGGTTTCTATCTAAGAGCATTAAGAATCTGCAGTCCCTAATATCTACTTAAAGAAGAAACATACATAGAAAACACACTCAAAAACCTACAATACCCATATCATTTCATCCACAACGCAAGAAGAAAGGCATACAACATATACAACCGAAACAAAAATAATAACATAATCCGCAATAATAAATTACATGAAAACAGATACATAATACTACCGACCAACTCTGTCACGTCCACTCTTCAGAACAACCTATCCCCTCAAAATAATCTTAAAATAGTCACAAACACTTCCAAAACCATTATGGATATACTCAGATCCTCAAAAACTAACAGCAATAATATTTCGGAAACAGGCATTTATAAAATAAATTACCAAAACTGTTTCTCCCAATATATTGGAGAAACAAGTAGAAATTAAAAAAAAAACAAAAAATATGAGCACAAAAGAGACATGACAAAAAACAACTTAGCTAATGCACTAGTTATACATAGAAATAAATTCAACCACAATTTTGATTTTAAAAATGTTACACTCATAAAAATGAAAATAACTCACTCAGAAGGAAAATCCTCGAGAGTGCCGACATTGAATATTACGCAAATATTAATCTACACCCAGGCTTTTCTCTATTTCACCTTTCTTAACAGAATTACTACTCTCCCAAACGAACGTATAGAACAGTATTAAGAAATCAAAAGAAAATCCAACACAACAACAAGGACAATATCTCTACACGTGACAGTAATTAACGTCATTTTCAGTTAACAGTATGAAAATAGCGTTCTCTAAATTCTTCCAGTTGTTAAGGACATTTTGTTTTTTGTTATTATTAGTTATTTTGTTCAATAAATTCATTTCGTTTTTTTACTTGAAAAATCTACATCGGACGAAACGCGTCGGCAACTATTACGGTTTTCCTATTGTCTTTTACATTTATAATTATTGTCTTTTTCTACAAGTTAACATTGAGAAATTTTTCATACATACATACATACATACATACATATATATATATATATATATATATATATATATATATATATATATAT